CTCCCGCTGTTCGCGCCCGCGCGCCTGCTCCTCATCGCCTCGCTCCCGTCGACCACCCGCCTCACTCCTCTCCCCGTCGACCATCGCTCCGCCGTCGCCCCGTCCTTCCCTTCCTTCCGCCGCCCACCTCTCCCCTCGTCTGCACCCTCCCCTTCCCCCCTCCACTCCTCCCTCGCCTCCGGCCAGAATCATCGCTCCCGATCTAGATCCCTCCCCTCAACGCCACCCATCCCTCCCTTCCTACCTCAGATCCTCACCGCCGCCACCCACCTCTCCCCTCCCCACCTCAGATCCCTCCCCTCGCCGCCACCCACCCCTTCACTGGCCGTCATGGACATGGTCGCCACCACCGACCGCGAGCGCGTCCGAGTCCCATCCATGTCCTTTCATGGGAGGTGACCCGCACCCGGCCCCGCGGTGGGGAAGGGCGATGGCGGCCTCGCGCTTCGCCCAGATCCGGTGCTCGTGTGCTCCAGCGGCCACGCGCGACCGTCTCCCATGGATAGGGTTTGGTCCACCGCGTCGTCGGCGTGTCTCCGGCGACTAAGGTTGGTCCCCTCTCTTCCTCACCTCGTCTCCTATCCCTACCAGATCCTCTCTTCCTCACCTCGTCTCCTCTCGCTACCAAATCCATCCAGCACGTCATCGTCGCTCGCGCTCCGGGCCACCATGGCATGGACGGGAAGGCTGCCCCGACGCCGATGCCATGGAGAACCCCAACGGTCAGCCCCCTCTCCTCTCCTCTCCTTTTTGATTTCTTCTTCCATTGCATTCCCTTCCATCCTCTTCCCTGACGCGATGCGGTTTCCGTCCATGAGCATCATCATCAGGGGCAGTGAAGGCCAGCAGTAGAAGCATCCATCTCCAGCGCCACCAGGGGCAGGTAAAATTCTGGTTGATCTGCATATATGGTCGTTGTTGACTCTGTTTGTCTCTATCTGAAAGTAGTGGTAGCCGTAGTGCATGTGTTGAGTGATTGCCAACGCTTTGTTGGCTGGTTGGATGTAAGAACTGAATGTGTTGCTTTTGCAAATTGATTATCTATCTAGAAAATGTTGCAGTTGTGGTACTGCATGATCTTACTAATGCTGTCTTTTTTTTACTCTTGTAAACCGAGCCCTTGCGTTGCGTCTGCAAGAAGTAGTGCTACTGCTTGTTCATAATGGCTGATTGCTTGCTGAATCTTGTTTTGCAAACTGAGAAGATTTAGAATGATGCATTTCCGCTGCTAGTGATTTCTTCAGTCTGACCTGATTAGTAAGTGCTTGTACTAATCTCTGCCATGTGTTTGTAACAATGCAAGTTTGGCTTCCAGATGAGATCTGGCTTTCAGATTCTTCTGAAACTGAACGCATCTATGTTTGGCCATGTGTACTACATCTTTCTGAACCGAACACTGCCATGTTTGGCAAACTGATGATACGTGTATCTTTGTTGAACTCTGGTTATCTGCAAGTAGTAGTGCTCCTCTTTTGGTTTCCTTAGTTGCTTTATGCATAAGAATAAGCTGATAAGAACAGAACATTGATACTTTGCATGCTATTAGCTGAATGGATGGCTGTGGTAGTAGAATGGTATTATTGTTTAGGTGCAATTTGGTGTGGTGAAGTTTTTTGCACGACTCGCACTTGTCAAAAGCATGATTGTATTGTGAGCCAATAATTTCTTGGAGTCTTCTTAGAGCTTGCTGGCATTAGGATCGACCCCTAACTACTTGTGTATTTGTTTATTATTTTGTTCAATATTCTTTTCCTAGCTGTTGTATGTTTGAGGATATTGCTTTCATTCTGAATTCACAGCCATGATAATGATCATTTCCTGTCTTTTACAGAGGCTCAAGAAGTTGGAAAAAGGGAACACTTCATCTTTGTAGCTAATTATATGTTCCTGGATGATGTGAATGGCTGTTATAGTATTTCATAGCAGCACTTTTGTAGTTGTTCTAAATTCCTGGATGATGTGAACTATGGCATGATTGTAATATATATAATATACTCATTTTGATTGCCATTTATGAAAATTTGTGTGATTGGGGCTCTCTGGACCAAAATATTGGTTACTTTATTGTTGATACTTTATTGTTGATATGTCGGAAATGAAACATATACTATTTGGGCCCTAAAAAGGCCACAAATCAAACAATTCAGGAAAAATGAACAAAATTACTAAAAGAATCAATTGTAAAAAGGCGATGGCCAAGTAAATAAAAAGGCTTAGGCCCAAAAACGAAATAGATCACAAAAAGGCCATGATCCATGAAATAAAAAGGCCAAATTGTTGGGCCAGGCCCATGTAGCTAGAGAAAATTAATAGGGAAAAAATATACAGTAAAAAGGCCGAATTGTTGGGCTAGGCCCATGTAGAAAATCGAATTGGATCGGGCTGAATCTTGTGCCACATCAGCTTGCCACGCTGGATGCCTACGTGGCCTGGGGAGGTTGCTAGTGACCAAAACGCCACAATAGGCATATTTTGGTCGTAAACGTCTACGACCTTCTCACAGAGAAGGTCGCTATAGTCGGTTTACGACCCTCAGCTTTTGACCTTCTGTTTTTGGTCACAAAAAGGTCGCAAATGAAAAACCATGACCTTTCAGTGACCAATAGTGGTGGTCACAAGTTGACATATTTCTTGTAGTGGGGCCGTGGCCTTGCAGAGGAGGTGGTGGAGTGGATCGATAGCCAGGACGAAGAGAAGAGGGGAAAGCGGGTTCCCCTGGCGAAGGCCACATCCATGCTTCAGTGGATCACCCAAAACTCCATTGATCAACACCCTTGAAGTGGCGGTAGAGAGCAAAGCTGAAACCCAGTCATGAAATCTGTCTGGAAAGCGGAGGTGTTTCAGCAGATCCATAAGGAAGTCCCAACGTACAGAATCAAACGCCTTTTTGATGTCTAGTTTGAATAAGAGCGTCGGGGAGCGGTTGCGATGGAACTTTCTTGCCAAGTTCCCGACGAACAAAAAGTTACCATGGATGCTTCTCTTTTTGATGAATGCACTCTGGGCGTTGGAGACAAGGTCATGCATGTGGGGGGCCAGACGATTGGCCATCATCTTGGCAAAGATCTGCGCGATGGCGTGGATGAGGCTAATGGGGCGGAAATCCGAGATGCATTCCGCACCATCCTTCTTAGGGATGAGAGCAATGTTCGCCGAGTTGAGCCAGTTTAAGTTTGTGGAGCGTAGATTGGTAAAGTGATTGACAGCAAGCAAAACATCATCTTTTATGATCTCCCAACACGCTTTGAAGAAGGCCCCAGAGTAGCCATCCGGTCCTGGTGCTTTGTCACTGGGGAGATCAAAAATCGCCTTTTTCACCTCTTCCTCCGTGAAGGAAGCTCCTAGCTCAGTGAGATCGCAAGCCGGCACCGGGATGTTGTCCCAGTTGATGTCGATGCTATGCGGCTGACCGCGTCTCATGACCTCAGTGAAGTGGTTTTGGATAATGGATTTCTTGTGGTCGTGAGAAGTAACCCATCCGTTGTTGTGCCTAAGGCGGTGAATAAAGTTCTTCCTTCGTCTATGGTTTACGCGCAGGTGGAAGAAACGAGTATTGGCATCACCGTCTTTCAAGCTCGTAATTCTTGAGCTTTGTCTTTTCCGCGCCCGCTCGAGAACAGCAAGGCCTACCACTTTCTGCTTAAGTCTCTTTCAAAGATCTCGCTCGCTGGCACTAAGGGGGGCGAAGATCTTGAGCCACATCCAGGCGGAGAATAACTTCAAGGGCCATATGAATTTGCACCTTCGAGTGTGCGAACATCGTCCTGCTCCACTTCCTTAATTTTTTGCGTGCTTCTTTGAGCTTGTGAAAGAGGTTGAGGTATGGGTCAGAATGACCAGAATTGTTGCTCCAAGCTCCCTAGACTACATCTTTAAAACCGGGCATTTTGATCCAGAAGTTGCTCCAAGCTCCCTGGACTACATCTTTAAAACCGGGCATTTTGATCCAAAAGTTTTCGAAGCGAAAGGGCTTTGACCTCTGCGGACCTTTGTCATTTGCAAGGAGGAGCGGGCAATGGTCCAATAAGGATGACGAGAGGGCATGAAGGATGTAAAACCTGTTATATAAACATGTGGAATTAGATATCCAGTACTGTATTCTTTTCTCCAGAATTTTAGAACCTTTGAAATATATTTTTCACTTCTCATTCACCTGTTTCCATCCTAACTTGGTATCCCGTGGACATTTTTTCTTACCTGACAACAATAACTGATTGCTCATCCTCTGCCATAAGCCTTCACACAACTAATGCAAGCGAACTTCCATACAAGTCGTTGTACATGGTTACAAATACAGTATATCGCTTTTCTATGATCACAAATCTCTAGAACTCTGGTACGAAAAAGGCAAAACCTCGTAACCAAATCTTCTGTTGTTAGCACACGAGAAAAGGTGGACCAAAAAAATCAAAGGCTACAGATAAACTAGATGAATGGGGGAGCAGCAACGCATGTAACATTCTGAATAGTATCTTGGATCAGTTACTCGTGTTGGTATTATACCCCTTTTTTCAGGGTTGCTGCTAGTATACGGATATCTGAGAGAGCAGCAGCCGTCAGATGAACAGATTTCGACTGTATCATGGAAACCGACGCGATGTTCTGTTTCAGGTGATCATTCATTTGTACCATCCAGTAAGCATGTATCTCAGCCAAAAGCAGAATAGGCATGACACAGCCTGCCACACATGAAGACGAGGAGTTAGTTACTTTTAACTTGGATCAAAATATGCACCAAAAGAAAGAGGTAGGGCATCTACCGTGAAAGAACTTGAGCGTTAGGAGTAGCTTCCGTTCAACACTATCCAACCACATAGACACTATGCATATTTCATATTTGGTACATTTTAAGTCAAGTTTATCAAGTGTCGGCAACGTGACACCAAACACCATAGCTAATGAGTAGTTAAATAGACATGTGAGCTAATTTGGATTGTTTAAGGCGTCAACAACGGTTCAATGGTTATGCTGGGTTCTGGTTCAATCACAACTTGGCATCGTTCTTTTTTAAGTTTTTACTGCTGCTAGAAAAATATTGGAGTGTGTTTGCAATCGACTAGTCCATGACACCTTCACGAGTCAAGGAAAGAATTACAAGAAAATGAAGTTCGCACAAAGAATGCATTTTGAGTTTACCTGAAATATAAGAAGCCTTATGCAAAGGGACTTCTCTGAGCACTTCCCAAACAACCTAAGGAATATGTTAACAAGGTTACCATCTTTGGTGCCTGTCAGCAGTCCTGTTTGAGTATCAAACCTACAGCAAGCACAATATAGAATTTTACTAAAAGTTCAAAACCATATTACAAGAAGTTCAATTAACAGTTCCGTACCAACAGAAACAAATCAGTACCTTGGCAACCTATGTCTTGGGCAAGGAACGAAGTGGAAGAGCTGTAGACAATAGACACAAATCTAAAGCGTAAGCAAACCATATACCTAATCAACTAAAAAGTTTAAATGTACCAATGAGGAGGTAAATATTGAAATCAGTTTCTCCAAACCTGTGGTACTGAGCACAAGAAATTAAGAACCTGGGGTAAAAAGAAGAGCAATAATGTCTCACTGCAAACAGAAAACAGTTTTATCAGCTGCAGTTACTAATCAATAATGGGCAGAGCAAATTATATGGACAACTAGTATATATACTATAAAGTATAAATATCACACAAGTGCACACAAAAAGTATTAGATGGCATGAGAAAAGTTTGGGTTCACAGCCAAGATGGTTTTCCACGATAAACAGTTAGGATATCAAGATATATTGCCAAAGATATGAACAGTCAACAAGCAACATATAAAATGTTTAAAGCCTGGATGTTGAATCCTACCAAACTCTACTAACTATTGTCCACTCAGAGTGCAGCCAAATCCTTTCATAACTCTCCTACCCACCCTAAAAGTTCCCGGAAATTTTTTACTCACTTTACTAATATGGTACATTCGAGTAAATAAAAATGCAAAACAAAGGGGGGAACTTTGCTGCAGATGCACTAGAACAAGGATGTCAGGAAGACTTGACTACAGAAAGCAGACAGCTAACTGCATACAATTACATACCACAAACAGCCAAATAAAGAATAAGCTGGAATAATAATAGAGAAACTTGCGGGAGATAACTGAGGATGTATACCTGAAATGTCCCAAAATACCCACCACAGCTAAAGTCATCCCAGCAAAATAGGTGTATGTATCACCAACAAAAACAGATGAAGGATACCTGACAAGATACAAAGTGATGCATGTAAAAAGGCCAACATCTTCTATTTAAAACAAGGTAGCATGCCTCTCAAGGTCCTTACCAGTTAAAACCCAGCAAAGCCAATGAAGTGGTCAGGAAAGGCAGGACAAGATAAATAGAGAATGCATGAGCTTGCTGAGTTTCAAGGTCTTTAGAAGATCCTATGCGCATTACATTATGTATCAAAACCTGGAAAATGCTACAATCATCAGTTGACGAATGGTGCACAAAATTCAAGAGCCATGTACTTCATACCGCAGCAGATATGACAACTGTCTGCCCAACTTCAAGACCATTCAGGCCAGCATGTATGTTGATTGAATTTGTACAAAAAACTGCTAACAAAAGCATGAAGAGCTTGTACATCCAACCTGCATGCCAAAGAAAACAAGGTTGGTGTTGGTATTATATTATCTAGTGTGTGCATCTCGGTCCACAGAGAATTTGGTCAACAGCAGAAATTGCATTCAAAAGGCAAATAAGTAAACCGAAAGAAATGCATCTCGGCAGTACTGGCGCACATGGATCTCTCAGTTCATTCATTTCTGCTGAGAGATTTCAAAACACATTTTGAAGCAAGCAATGTACAAGATGGACTTGATCACTCTAACAAGTGATAAAATTAAAAGGCATAAATGCTTCCATCACACCAATATTTGGAACCACTCAATATTTACAGTGTCAAAATTCGCTTTATTTTCGGTTTGTAAACATACCTAACTCCAGAACTTCTACTCCGACATAGGATGCTAGAGGCTTTGGAATGATGATGGAAGTACCACCAGCATACGCCATAAGCAGAGGAAGTGCTGCAATCGTAGGCAGCAGCAGTTTCCTGTTCAATGTAGGTCATTCCAAAACCAATTTATCATAATCAAGAAAGTAATAGCAATTGCACCATTGAAATAAACTGAACACTCTGAAAAAGAACATACACTCTCCATGGAATATCAAGAACATCGTCAATAAATCCAAGAAGAATCATAAAGCAGACTGATGCTAATGCTGCATTATATTCAACAAGCCACTGCAGAAAGAAAAAAAGGGGGGAAATGAAATTCAGGGCATAACATATATTTGTGAATTCCAAAAACGACAACTTCTAGTCATAAACATACAATGGAATCCGCTGTGAAGTTGAAATGTTGAAATAGAATAGCAATGACCAGGTATACAATCCCAACAACAATGCCTAGTGACTCAGGCCTGCAAAACAAGTAAAATGTTTAGACTGCAAAGAATGTCAATTCACAGCTTTATATTACCAAGCCAGATCATGTAGCAAATTCATATGAAAGGCATACAATGGGTACTTTTGATTTTTGTTTTTGAATTGCACCTTCAATGTACAGATATGAGTTTGTGCACACTTCTCTAAAATAATGCTATGATTCAGTTTCGCTTGCCTACTTTGTATAGAATCCTGAGGGATGTATATACATGCACTGCATCTATCAGTATCACATATCCCAAAAGAAAGAATTCAAAAATGCCTAGTGACACATGTTTTGTGTCCTTTCTTTGATGTATATCTTCTTCAGAGGTATGTAAGAACTTTGACCAGTAAGAAAGACTGTATTCTAGATTCCAAGATCATTTTTCACACTTAACCCAAGGGGGTGGAATGGTGCATGAACTCTTATCTGTAGGCCGAAATACTTAAGCACGGCATTCCTTGGCAACATATCAGAGTCAAAGAACATAAAACTAGTACGTATTAAACTAGGTGGAAATAGAAAATATTTACTGCTTAACTCCCCCAAACTGGACAATCTGTCAAACAGAGTCAACACCCACCAACAAATGCAAGTATCCGCCACTCGAGGAAATTCCGCTTAGCTGCTATCAGCTATCCGAACATGACCTCTACTTTCGAGCTGTAAGAAACAGTTAGTTTAGCCTATGAGACTATGAAGTATTGATGTCTACTAGTACCAAATGCATGGATTTCAACTGAGCTGAATTCACTTCTTGCACTCCATAGTTTCCACCATGAATTGTAGCAGCTACCAATGCAACAACTACCCCACCCCTCTATCTATCTATCTATCTATAAAAGCACAGAGCAGACTGCAAGTTATCAAAATTGTACTCGTGACTCACACTGTGATCTCTCCCATGGGCAAGCCCTTCTTGTTGATGTCCTTGCCGAACATCCCGCGGCGGAGGAGGTAGCGGGCGGCGACGGGGATGAGGCGGAGCACGACGAAGAAGCCGCCGAGGCTAATGGCCCCGCAGATTAGGATGGATCGCCGCAGATCGGCGGCCAGGGGGTAGTGCACGAACGCGAGGTACGAGAAGGGCGCGAGGAAGAGAGCCATCGCCGCGAGGACCACGCGAAGATTCGGCGGGCGGAGCACCAGGTCGCCCGGCGCCGCGGCCGGCGCAGCGGCGGCAGCAGCAGCCGGCCGCGACTTCGTCGGCCTATCGGCTGCCGCCGCCCCGGGCCTGCGGCGGACGTCCATGGGAGGAGGGCTTGGGGTTAGGTGAAGTGGGAAGCGGACGGGCAGCTGTCGGGGAGGTCGGGTGCGTGCGCCGGCGGCGGCGGCGTGGTGTCTGCTCGCCGGCGATGGGGTCGGGAGCACGGGAAGGTTTATAGTTGTGGCCGCGCGGTGACGTGGAGGGGTCTCATTGGCTGTGGTCACGTGTTCGCCGGGCACTGGAGAGGCTTCCGTGGAGTCGTCGTGCCTGGAATTGGAGCTTTGTTTTGCTTGGAAGACACTCACAAATTATTTTTAAAATCGCTGCATCTAGCCATTTCAAAATTTGATCCACAATTCAGAAAAGTAAAAATGCAAATCAGCCTGTGAATGGTACCAGAGAGACGTACAATTAGAGTTGAACTTTTGTAGCATGATGGATGCACCTTTTACCAAAGTTATCGATTTTTTGTAACTTTCAGATTCACAAAAGTACCCAACAAGATGTGGTAACTCTAGCAGTCGACTTCTTGTTGCCTCGTTGTACTTACAGCCAGATGCGTGACGCATCTCTGCCCAATGGTCGCGCGGCTTCACGCAGCCGCGTGTGGCTTCGTATGTCATGAGTGTGCAGATCTAACATCTCATGCGGCTCAACAACTCACCAACTCACCAACTGAAAGGATCGAGATGAAACTCAAGGGGATGTATCTCTTCTATAAATTTTATACATATTCTTCAATATTTTTAGGCTTGGGGTATAAAGGTTTGCCTAAGTGTAACTACGGTGAGCACAACATATATGAACAATGCAAGGTTGAGAGACTAAAGTGAACACACAATTAAATGAGTTCGGATAAGAAGTAACTGAAGCACGTAAAGACGAAGACATATCTCAATGTTCACTTTCTTGAAGGGAAGTTAGTCCCCGATGGAGAGGTGTGAGAACACGAAGGTTTCTTGACGTCACCAAGGTTCGCCTTCTTCTCCCTCAGCATTGACCACGAAGGTCGGCCTGGTACCTCTAAAACATATCTATTTTTGCTATGTTCATACTACTTTGATACCGTTATTACATATTTTTTCTACGTCTTTAACAATTTTATTGGGTTGACCTACTAATCCACTGCCATGGATTAACCTATTAATCCACTATGAAGTGTCACTTGTTACTTTCTGCATATTTTTGGAATCTGCAAACATAGTATTTTTCTTGGGGCTAAAAAAATAAAATAAAAACATGTCGTGAAGTTTCAAGACACGAGAGCGAGCATAGGGCCATAAGCCACCAAAGGGGCGGGTTGTGGGACCCATGTGGTGGGTTGACGCGGTCCAAGGTCTGGCCATCCTGCCCTCCTAGGTCTCCGTTCAACGGCTTTTTCGGTTCCGGTGGTAGATGGGATTGGATGAGATTTCTTATGTAACCGTGTGAATTTGTTAGGGCCTGATCCCTAGTACCCATTATGTTTTGAGATTGGTGTTGCTATGCTGAATGCTTGTCACTAGAGTCCGAGTGTCATGATTTCAGATGTAAACCTATTATGTTTTTATGAATATATTTGAGTTCTTGATCATATATGCAAGTTGTGTGCACCTGTTATTGTTATGAACTCTAGACCCAAGGTGATAATAATTGGGATTCTCTATGGGGATGACTGTATTTTGAGGAGTTCATGTATTCACTATGTGTTAAGGCTTTGTTCTAGTTCTCTATTAAAAGAAGAGGCTTAATTACCCTTAGTTTTCATTAGGACCCCGCTGCCACGAAGGGTACGTAGGACAAAAGATGTTATGCAAGTTCTTATCACAAGCATGTATGATTGTATAAGGAATACATGCCTACATATGATTGATGAACTTGAGCTAGTTTGTATCGCTCTAGGTTGTGACCCTTGCATATTGAATCTCATCTAAAGATCCCATCACTACTCCATGCCTACGACTTTCTACTATTGCCTTTGCTACAATTACTATTGATCTACTTGTTACAAACTTGTTACTACTGTTGTTACTGTCATTATTACTCTGCTATCACTGCTATCATATTACGGTGCTACTAATAAATTGTTACAAGGAAGTGATTTCTCGGGTGTGGTTGAATTAACAACTCAATTGTTAAGGCTTATAAATATTCTTTTTGGCTTCCCTTGTGTCAAATCGATAAATTTGGTTGAAATACTACACTCGAAGACTGTTGTGATCCCCTATACATACTTGTGGGCCATCGGTAGCTAGATGGCATCTCCTATCTCTCGTTCTCCAGTACAAAGTTCACGTAAGTTGTCTCACTCTCACATGATCGGGATCAATATGATGCAATCAGTAGTGTGGTTGTTGGGATATGATGAATTGTCACTTTATGATCAGATCGTTCGTTAAATTCAATTGAATATTTTGAAGTTTCTTGGGTGTGTAATTGAATAGTTTTATATGCTCTTTAATCTATTTGTCTTCTTTGGACAAGATTGATGAGCAATTTCTTCACGGGGAGTGGTGCATTGTAGTGGATTCTAATCTTGCAGTGATCTATGTCCCAGTGACAGAAAGGGACAAAATATGTATTGTATTGTTGCCACTAAGGATAGAACGATGGCTTCTTGTCATAGTCCTTCATATTTTACTGTCTATATTATGTCATCTTGCTTATTGCAATGCTCTGTTTGTCATGAACTTAATACTTTGAAATGTCTACTGGATAGCGGTCTTGGGGTTAGTATTAGTTGTAGATGCAGTTGGATAACAATCTACATATCATGGACGTAATTCATATATGAGATTATACCATGAATGAACATAATCATTGATGTCTATTACGCAACCTTCTTGTTATAGACTCGTGTTGGGCCTCCAAGCGCAAAATTTTGTAGGACAGTAGCAAATTTACCTCAAGTGGATGACCTGAGGTTTATCAATCCGTGGGAGGCATATATAGGATGAAGATGGTCTCTCTAAAACAACCCTACAACCAAATGCAAGAAATCTCTTGTGTCCCCAACACACCCAATACAATGGTAAATTGTATAGGTGCACTAGTTTGGCGAAGAGATGGTGATACAAGTGTAACACTACAGGAATCAGCTACTTTGCCGTCTGCCACGACGGACGACAAAGGCATGAATGGCGGACGGCAAAAGTGGACGGCAAAGTAAGGTCCGGCAAACAGCTACTTTGCCGTCTGCTTTACACGGCCCTTTGCCATCAGCAGACGGCAAAGAAAGCAGACGACAAAAATTGCACTGTTAGTCCGTTAGGTGGCTAACGGCAGCCCTTTGCCATCCACCGCTGACGGCAAAATTTGTCCTACTCTTTGTCGTCTGCCACTGTAGGCAAACTGGCCAAATGGGTCAGCTCCCAGGAAGCACAGTTGGCTGCCACATGTCTTCTTTGCCGTCCGCGGCTGACGGCAAAGAAGCCGTTGCCGTTGGTGGCAGACGGCAAAGAGCCTGTATATAAGCTCTTTTTTTGTTTTTTCTGAATCCAACAATTTTCACAGCAAATATATATGACATATATAGATATATTTCACAGGACTATTTAACAGCAAACATATCACCTATATATCCAACACATAATTAAGTTTCATCCATTCATACATAAGCAAGTTCCATCCATACACATTGTTCCATCCATATACATATTACAATGCAAAGTTTGATCAAGATAGCAAGTTCCATCATAGCAAGCTAGATACAATGCAAAGTTTCATCAAAGAAAAAACAAGCACTCATCATAGCAAGCTAGCTTTCATGAAGTGAATGAAATCTGCAAAATGGCAAATAAGAAAGTTAGAAATAGGTGACTAGAAGAAGAAGACTAGAACAAGAAGTATATGTCATTTATGAGCTAACTTAGGTGAAATCGATCATATATGAGCTAACTAAGTTGAAATGGGTCGTTTATGAGCTAACTAAGGTGAAATGGATCATCTATGAGCTAACTTAGTTGAAATGGGTCGTTTATGAGCTAACTAAGGTGAAATGGATCGTTTTTGAGCTAACTAAGTTGAAATGGATCGTTTTTTAGCTAACTTAGGTGAAATGGATCATTTATGAGCTAACTTAGTTGAAATGGGTCGTTTATGAGCTAAGTAAGGTGAAATGGATCATTTTTTAGCTAACTAAGGTGAAATGGATCATTTTTTAGCTAACTAAGGTGAAATGGATCATTTAAGAGCTAATTTAGGTGAAATGGATCGTTTTTGAGCTAACTTCGGTGAAATGGATCGTTTTTAGCTAACCTAGGTAAGATGGGTCATTTTGGAGCTAACCTAGGTAAGATGGGTCATTTTGGAGCTAACCTAGGTGAAATGGATCGTTTATGAGCTAATCTAGGTAAAATGGGTCATTTTAGAGCCAACTTGGGTAAAATGCATCATTTTAGAGCTAACCTAGGTAAGATGGGTCATTTTGGAGCTAACTAGGTAAAATGGGTCATTTTAGAGCTAACGTAGGTTAAATGGATCATTTAGGAGCTAATCTAGTTAAAATAGGTCATTTTAGAGCTAACTTGGGTAAAATGGATCATTTAAGAGCTAATTTAGGTGAAATGGATCGTTTTAGGGCTAACTTAGGTAAAATGGGATCGTTTATGAGCTAACTAAGCTAATTATGCCATTTTTACATAAGTAAGCTAAGTACATATCGTTTTAGAGCTAATATAGGTAAAATGGATGGTTTTGGAGGTTAGTAAGCTTATTAAGTCATTTTGGAGGAAAAGAAGCTAACTCTAAGTCATTATGGTAAGCATATTGGAGGAAATAAAGCTAAGTCTAGGTCTTTATGCATTTGTTAAGCAAAACACTAGAGACACTTCCCGTGATCATGGAGGTGTTGTAGCGGGGTGGCTCGTGCCGATAGCTAGAGAAGGATCGTGCGATGCTTGTCTGGAGTTACGCTGCACCAAAGATCATTTCCAATGTCTCGTTAGCATGATGACACTCGAATGTTAAGACTAGCAAGTAATGTCCATTCAAATTAAACTCACCGTGGTCCCAGGAGCAATCACTGGCATCGGCGGAGCGGTCTGACCGGACTTCTCGCACACAT